GTCCATATTCTGATCGATTGATATTCTTTAAGTACTCTTTAAGTACTCGAGTGTTAGATCTTGTAGTGGAACGTCGTCTTCGTAATTCGGCTCCGGTGGTCAGGGATTTATTCCTTGCTCCTTCCTGTGTCGTTGGTGTTCAACTATTAGGCCATTGTCGTAACTCTCGACTGGTCACGATTGCTAAATATTATTTGTCCATTGATTTTCGTAAATCCATTGTAAGTCGTGATATGAGGACGATAGGGAGAGTTGATTTTTTTTAATTTCTTCTCCTTTTTCATCGATCATGTATCTTAGATTCTTCTTCTAATATTCATTATTTTTTTGGCTTGCATTTGATTGCTTTTTGAACATTCATTTATCTTTTTTTGGTATTATAGTATTATTTAATATAAATAATTTGAATTTTTCCATTTTGAATTTTTCTTTTTTTTGCTTTAAGTTAGACGAGAATATTTTTGATACGAATGCTATTAATAGAAATGTTATGTATTATAAATTACAGATTTAAGATATTAAAATACAAATTAAATTAGTTTTAAACATTCATCGTTGGACAACGTGGGATTAATTACGAGTGACGAATATAAAAAACTCTTGTAAAAATCGTTGTAAAGATCCATTGTATATTAATTTAAATAATTATGTTATTTCATAATGTATTTATAATTAATTAATATTTTTTTATATTTCTTTTAATTTATTTATTTATTGTTATTAATTAATTTTTTATATTTTATTTATTATGTTTTATATTTATTTAAATTAATCATTAATTTTAATGTTTTTTTTTATTTTTTTAGCTTTAGGTGGGTCTCGATGCGTAGTCACCTCCTCGTCGGTGAGACCCGGTAATTGGCATCGCTTTCCAAAATTTTCTTTTTCAAAATTCACAAAATTCTATATCACAAAATTTATTTCATTAAAAATTATTCGAAATATTTTAAATTTAAAAATATCAAATATATTTCAATTAAATTATATCAAATATATAATTATATCAAATATATAATTTAAAAATATCAAATATATAAAAATATATATTTTCTGTACCAATAATAGTGTGTGGAAAGCGATGGCAAGCCAAGAACTATGCACATCTTCAGTCCAGTTTAAACTTTGCATAATTAATTTAATTACTTTGATTTTAATTTTTAATCAATTAAAGTGGACTGAAGATATTAGTCATAAGTTAATGTATTATATAAATTAGATTAAGTTTATTGTAAGTGCGTTCCTCGCATCAAGATATACTCCTTAATTTAAAGCGAAATATAAAAATTCTTAATTCTCATACTCCTCTTTCATATTCTCGCTTTTCGTTTTCATTATTTTTCATCTCGAATTTATATTCTTATAATTATTCGAATCGTTTTTTACTTTCTTCCTCAATTTATTCTTTTGGTTATTTTATATTTTCTTCTTTTCTTTCATCGCTTATTTCAAGTCAATCTCATGTTATGCAACAGTGGTAGGAATCGTTGGGCCAGTGTTCTACTTCCGGTGGCCAGTTAAGGGTCCGCGCTCTGATCGATTGGTATCTTCGAATACTCGATCAGAGTTAGGTCTTGTAGTCGAATGTCGTTCTCGTAAATCGATTCAGGTGGTCGGGGATTTATTCCTTGCTCCTTCCTTGTGTCGTCAGAACGTAAGTCGTTCTTCTGTTTGACCATTGTCGTAACCCTCGATTGGTCACGACTGGTAAGTGTCATTTGTCCATCGATTTTCATAAATCCATTGATGTAAGTCGTGATATGAGGGCGACAGAGAGGGTTGATTTTTTTTAATTTCTTTTTCTTTTTCATCCATCATGTGTTCTAAGTTCTTCTTCTAATGCTTATTATTTTTTTGCATTTGGTTACTTTTTGAGTGCTCTTTTTTTTTTTTATTAAAGTTTTTTTTCATATAAATGATTATTTTGAATTTTGAATTTTTCCTTTTTTCGCTTTAAATTATACGAAAATATTCTTGATGTTACTAATAGAAATGTTATGTATTGTAAATTTATGTATTTAGTATTAAGGTATAGATTAAGTTAGTATTAAGCTATCATCGTTGGACAACGTGGGACGACATTGAACAACGATGGACGACGATGGACGACGTGGGACTTAATTTTATTATATATTTTTTATAATTAATGCGAATTTTATATGTGATATACGTATATTGCATATCGAAAAATGTAAAAAATTTTTGTAAAAATTTTTATAAAAATTTATTGCATGTCTATTAAGTTATATAATTAATTTTTACCTTATGTTTCAGATTTTTTAATTTTTTTGTGAAATTTTTTTTTTATTTTTATTTATGTTGTTTAATTTAATCATTAATTTTTAATGTCTTGTTTTTATTTTTTAGCTTTAGGTGGGTCTCGATGCGTAGTCACCTCCTCGTCGGTGAGACCCGGTAATTGGCATCGCTTTCCAAAATCTTATATCACAAAATTTATTTCATTAAAATGTATTCAATGTAATTTTAAATTTAAAAATATCAAATATATTTCATCAATGATAATGTATGGAAAGCGATGGCAAGCCAAGAACTACGCACATCTGAAGTCCAGTTTAAACTTTGCATAATTCATTTAATTATTTTGATTTTAATTTTTAATTAATTAAACTGGATTGCAAATATTAGTTAATAATTTAATAAGTTATAAAAATTAAGATTAAGTTTATTGTAATAACCGCGTTCTCCGTCTTCTTCTCAAGATATACTTTCTAACTTAAGACGAAAAATAAAAATTTTCAATTCTCTTATTCTCTTTTTATATTCTTTCTTTATCTCATAAGTTCATTGATGTAAGTGATATGAGGACGTTAAAGAAAATTGATTTTTTAAACTTTTTCTGCTTGTATTCTTTTTTATTTATTTTCTAATTTAATATATGTTTCCGATTTGTTGAATTTTATTTTTTTTTATGATTCAGATTTTACATTTAAATTTATTTATACATATAAATTTTATACATATAATTTAACATTTTATGCCTTTTTTATTTTTTTTTCTTTGTTTTTAAACGAATTTCGGTACCTAGTCATCTCCTCGAAATGATGAGTATGATAAGAATTTAGTAATCGATTTTCGTAGATTATTCTTTAAAAATTGTCTATATTTCCTTTGAAAATTTTTCAAAGATTATTTTTTAAAAATCGATACCAAGCTAAGAATTATGCAATAAGAATAAGAATATTGCAACCAATCTAAACTTATACAATTTCCTTTGAGAGATTTATCGTCTAGATTGGATTGCAGGTTTTATTAATATCCTGTATGGAATATCATGGAATCATTATGAAAATATTGTGGAATGTGTTTTAGTTTTAGCATTATAGATTATAAGATAAATTAAGCTTATTGTAATTATTGTATATTACTAATTCTAAGCGAAAAAGAAAAATCTCAATTTTTTTTATTCTATCATTTGATTTCGATCTTTTAAGGTTCCTTTTAAGTTTCTTTGACATTCCATATTTCGTCTGAAATCATGCGACAATTATTTTCAGAGCGAGAACGAATAGATAGATAGATAAAACGAACGATAGATGGAAAAAGGACAAAAATAGATTAAAAAGATTGAAATTAGCGCCATCTTTTGAATGCCGCAAATGAAACCAAAAGAAAAGATAGAATAAAAATTAACCTTCAGCGCCATCTTTTGAATGCCAAAAATATTTAAAGATAAGATAAGGTAGAATATTTATCGATAATAAAATAAAATTGATAAATTTTATCTTTAAACTGTTTTAATCTGTATGAAGAACAAATTATTTTATATAAGCTTATATAAGTATATATAAGTATATTCAATAGAAATAGATATATATCTATATAGAAATTTAAAAAATATAAATCTAAAATAAAATAAAATAAAATAATTCATCTTATTGTCAATAATTATATGGAAGAAGTTTCAATGTTTTGCAGAGATATCACTAATTAAACAAATAATAAATTACAGAATATAGTAGACTGTGAATATACTTTGCTATCGATAAAAATGTGCGAACATTTCAAAGAGATGGTACTATTAGTTATGGACTAAATATATATATATATGTATATGTATATAATGTTTTCATATGTTATATATATATGTATATATTTATTATTTATATTATTTAATATCAATATTATATTATAATAATATAAAATTAATTATCTTTATTAATTATTATCAATACGAAATATTGTATTAATTAACATATCGAGATAAAATACAAACTAATACATCATACATGCGAATCTAAATAAAAAAAAATTTTATAAAATTTAAAAAAATTCATTTAGATACTTATTAAATTAAATATTAATTTAAACTAAATAAAAAATATTTAATTTTAAACATGATTTTATTTTATATAAAATTTAATTTTATTTAATTTTATATAAAATTTTATAAAATTGTAATACATGAATTTATTAACATATTTTTCTATATACATAATTACATTCATTCAAGATTTTTGTAAATGATTCTATCAATAATATAATTTTACAAAATATATTTTATAAATTTTTAATTTTAATTCATCAGTAGCAAAATAGTAATCAACTTAAAGTACGAAATGGAAATAAGAAAATCAATAAAATATGAAAAAAACATAGCACATAAGTAATAAAACGATGATTAAATTATTCAATTAAAAACTAAAATATTTATAAGAACATAAAAGGAATCTGTATTTTAGAGATACAATTTCCTATGTTGATATAGCAGTTATTGTCTATTGAAAGATAATGGTTTGTATTTAACTATCAATATATAATTTTAACTATCAATTTTAATTTTATATAATTTTAATAATTGATATATAATCGCTACATTTTTTACTTTATATTACTTATACATTATTTATATATTTAAAAATATTTTTATTAAATTATGATATATGTTTATAAAAAATTGTTTGAAGATGCATACACACAGCAACAAAATATGCAAAAAAAAATAGCTATACACTTATATTAAAAATATGTAAAAATCTCAAGAAAACATAAAAAGATAATAAATATGGTTAATTATAGACTTTTATTATTAGTATAAATGATATAAAGTCGAATACAATTAACAAAATTACGTTCCGGATGACAGAGGTGATACTTTTTGTATTAAACATAGAATTTCATTTATTCCGATATCTCATTCATTAGTAAAAAAAAACTTATAATATATATATATATATAGTACATATCAGAAAATATTTTCCTGTCAAATAAATGTTTTTGAACGTTACATATTGTGGGCACCACACTCTTATTGCATCCGGTTTGTACTTAAAAATAAATATTATCTACTAAGAAAAAAAGATCTCTTTCTTTTATATTTAAAAAGGCACGATAACGACTAGGTAAAAATAAATGGTATGCCAAAAATAGTTCGATCTCGCTGACAAAATTACTCGTGCTCCTTATTCAATGAACTAGTAACTCTGATATAATGGACAAATAAGTTTTATATGAAGTGCAAATATATAAATGCAAAAATCGTTTCAATAGTCATGAAACGTTTCGTTAAATTTGATTTAAACATTATATTACAGAATATTTTCTCATATGTTGTACATATTTCTATAAATATAAAGTACTAATATGGTGTTGTGTATTCTGTTTTTAATCTCTTCTTTATTATTTTTTTAAGCAAAATATATCATTCAAGACATTATATGAATTCTTTATATTAATGAAATCTTAGAGACTTGTCTTCTAAATAAGATCAAGTGCTTTTCTGTATCTTTTCAAATATTTTTTTTAAAACGTGCTGTTAGAATTTTTAAGATTATTTTATAAACTTATTTTCACATAAGGCGACAAAATTCCTCTCCTTGAGGATCACCCTGAAACAAAGAAAAGAATTTTACTTATATAAAGAAAAAATCAAGATGACACTTCACATGAACCCAACTAGCATGATATGATTACATGACATTACAAATATTATTCGACAATTACTATTATTAGAATTTTAAGCTAGTATTAATGAATGTTAATCTTTTATTAAAAGATTTATGAAAGCAATGAATATTGTGCGTTCATTTCTGCATACGTGTAAAAATATACACACATGCATGTTTTGAAAATGTACCCGCACGTATATGATATTTATTCATGTATAATTGATAATAAATAATAAATATATTTTTGTTCTGAAAATAAATTAATTTTTCGTTTTAAAAATAAAATATAATGAGTGATATATATTCTATTGACATAACAAAATCATTTGATAAAAATACATGTGTATTGTACAAAAATTATATAAATAATATATAATAGAATTTATTAGATATATTTTCATCAATTGATTTGTCTTAATTGATTTTAAAATTTTTCTAATTAAATTCTAATAATATTTATGTATGTACCAAAAATGTTTTATAAATAAGTTCCCTAAATACAAATAAAAAATTATTTTTTTTTATTTTTTTTTTGTATAAAACAATATTAACATTTATATATCTCAATTAATTTAGTAAATTAATATAATAGCAACAAATAATAAGAATTACATGTTAATAAATTTTAATATTTGAACGTTTTAACGTTTAAACGTTAATCGATATGAATATAAATAAATAAAAATACCAATAATATTGTGTTAATAACAATACCAATAGTAATAAAGAATATCAAATAATAATAATGTAAATTTATATAAGTAATAAAAAGATATATCATTTAAATATGTATCTTAAAGACAATGTGGTTAACTAATGAGATGTTTATATTTTAACAAAGTATATTATATTATTTTTAACACTTATGAAATTTTAGTTAAGCGTGAGCATGAAAATAATGTGCTGTGAAGAAGAAAAAACAAAGCAAATAATTCCTTTAATTCAAAGCGCGAATGACATTAATCATTGACGACTATTTTAACGTTCCATAAGTTGAAAGCAACTTACATAAATCGACCCAGAAGCGTTCGCTCGCCCACTTAATATGGGTAGAGATATCTTCTCTATGGAATAAGAAGATACGTTGATGATATATATCCCGATTTTGTTTTATATTTACAATATTATATCTAATATTATATCTAAATCGAATATTTAAAAAAAATATATATGTAAAGCAATAAATGTAAAACAAATCAAAATATTTTATAGCCACATTGTCTTCATTAATCAATTAATTAAAGAAACAATGAAAAGAAACAAATAACTTGTCGAAATAAAAAAATTATCAATTATTTTAGAACTAGCTTTTATGTTTTTTAATGCCAAATATGGACATTTATAAAATAAAAATTAATAAATAATTTTTATAAATCATTTTTGTGATAATTTTCACTTATATGTCCATTGTTCTTATTACAACTGTTACTGATAAAACACAAATATTTTAAAAAATAAGTGATACTAATACTTATTCCCAAAAACAAAAATAATTTTTTTGATATTTGTTTTAGCTGTGGATAAAAAAAATAAACTTAACTGTAATTAAAATCAAGTATTATAATATTTAAATTTTATTAATACGTATCAATCTTCATTTCTAGTTTTATATTATATTTAAGTATAGATGTTATAACATACCTGTTGATGATGTAGTTCTTCAGAAGGTCGAAACCCCAAATTTTCCCTATGTCGAGATAGAGAAGTAGATAATTGTTGCCTTTTACATTCTGAACTGGCCATTTCCTATTTTAATACATCAAAAATATTGTTCACATTTAAAATATAAATTAATATCAACAAAGTTTAATAAATACTCACTTCGCCTTCATTATTAAGAAGTATAGTCGTCATAATATCTGCTGTAAACCATTTTTGACCTTTCATGACAATATTTGATGGTGGTTCATGTGAAGCACCAATATCAGCTGACCATACCATTACAGTAGCTCCTGCTTCTAATTTTGCAGTTCGATGAAATTTAAATACTGTTTCAAGAGAACCAGCCTTACGAATAATTTGCCAACCACTAAGTCCCATTTCCTATAAAAAATAAAGGTGATATAAAAATATAATTGAAAGTATTAAATGTAATATGAATAAATTATTATGCATATTTATACATTTTATACAATACTGAATTTTTTATTATTTATTATTATTTACTCAATATTTTACCTTGTTGCCTTTGTTTGTTAGTTTTACAAATCGTCCTTGAGGATCAGCTTCTGTAATTTCTATATCTCCTCTAGATGTTCCAGATACGCTATAATCAGTACTAGTACGTTCTTCACTTTCCTCTAATAAAGTACGTTTTCGTTTTCCACCTCTTAATGGAGTATGTCTTGAAGGTGTAGTTCTACCACTAGATGCTGTTGAACTTGATTGCACTGGATTAATATTTAATCTGTAATTAAATAAATTTTTATAGATATTACATACTATAAAATAATAATAAATAATATTAATTGTATTACCTGGATTCTTCAGATTCTAAAAGTTTTCGATATGCTGCAATTTCCAAATCAAGACCAATTTTAATATCCATAAGATCTTGATATTCTTTTAATTGTTGAGCCATTTCATCACGAATACGCGCTAATTCTTCCTCTAGAGATGCTACACTTTCTGCGTGACGAGCTTTCTCATTTTCACGTAGATTTTCTAAATCTCTAAATTAAAATTTGTGATTTTAATATATTTCTTTTTAAATATGTCCAATCAAAATATAAATCCAACTAATTTATATTACCTTATTCGCGCAGTGAGAGCATTATTTGCTGCTTCCAGTTCATTAATTTTTTGATTAAGTGTGTCAATTCTTGTTCTTGTTTGCCTTAACTCTTCAACAGCTAAACTTGCTGCTCCACTATTACGTTGAGCATGAGCTGTCAAATTTTTAATCTTATTTTCATATAATAATTCAATTTCTTCTCTGTTAGCTCGCATTTGTGCTTCATATTGATCTCGCAATTCTTGCAAAGATTGTTGCAATTTAGCTTCATATTTTTCAGCAAGACGACCATCTATCTCAGAAATTTCAATCTAGAATAAAACATAAAATAAATAAATCATAAAAAATAAAAATTTTAAAACAATCATAATATAATATTCTTAATAGTTTTATTTTTTAAAATTGATATTAATTAAATATTATCAAATACAAACCTGTCTTTTTGTTCGTGATTCTGTTAGTTCTTGTTGATATATTTGATCTTTAAAACTAATATCTTCTTTTAAACTTTGAATATTATTTTCAAGAACAATACGTTGTAATGTTTCTTCTCCTAGATGTTTACGAGCATCTTCTAATAATGCTTTTAATTTTTCTACTTCCTGTTCTAATTCTCGTTCTCTTTCAGCTAGTTTCTTACGCTCTGCTTGAGACTGATTAAATTGTGATTGCAGATCATTGTAACGCGTTTCATATAATAATAAGTTTCTCTCAGCTACTTGTAAATCCACTAATTTTTTATCTAATCTGAAAAAAGACATAAGAATATTTACAAAATATATTAGCTAAAAAATATATAAGATATATTATAATTTTATAATATTATAATATTAATTACAATATAATGTATATAATATGTTAATTAATTCTAATTATAGCTAGAAATTTAAAATCTAAAATTTTTATAAATTAACCTTATATGTTATTCTTTATTTATTTATCGAATTTAATATATTTTCCTATTAAAAAAAATATGATCATATTACATATGCTATCTGCAACATACTTCTATCAAAAAATTTTAATCATTTGAAACATTTCGGCACTTGAGAGCAAGAGGTGAAGTTTCATGTTTCTATTTCAGGCAACGACCCACATCGAGAATTTTATTTTCTACCGCGGTGTCTTGAAACATCTTAATATTTCGTTATCTTAAAATGTACAATATATCAATAACTTATGCAACTTATATATCAATTTTATCAATCTATATATTCTATACGATCACTTTCAATATTCTAAAATTACATATATTTATTAATTTTTAAATAAATATTTGAATTAATTTTTATTTATCTTTTTTTAATTAATATATGTATATTAATTAATGTACGTGTATATATATATATTATAAATATATATATATATATTATAAATATATAAATTATAAATAAATTATATAAATTATAAATAACTATAACAAATATAAATAACTAAACATAACTACAATAAATATAGAAAATGAAATAAAATAAAATGTACGGATTTATAATATATATAAATAAAATTATTTCGAAAAAAATATTGAATTTATATTGTCATATAAACATATGCGTTTAGGATTTTATTTTTTTTTTACAAATGCATATATTTTCTATAATTATTTAATGATCAATATTAGCAACACATATAACTATATTTTATATACAATCTTATTATATTGATAATTATAATAGATTTTATAAAATCTTTTTCACTTTTGTGATAAAGCAAAAAAGACAAAAATAAAAATTTAGAATAAGTTTTGTTTTAAATTTTGTATTTTAAACTGATTATAACTTTTGATGAAATATAAAATTATAAAATAAAAAATTAAATAAACTTAGACATCAAAATTATACATAATTTCCCAACGGCATATAGGCAAACATAACATGGATATATGATATATATACACGAATCATATATGGATATATGATACACGAATATATCCACCTTTTTTAAAATACATATATATGTAAATATAAAAAAACACGAAAATGAAATATATATATATATATATTGATATTACCTTCCATTCCTTACTTTATTTATTAAACGAAATAAAATTTCCCGCTTTTTTCTGATTTTATCTGTATTTTTATCGATTGCTCAATGCTCGCTTGAAAGGAGGTCAATGTTTTCAGTCGAGGTTATACATGCGGTTGAAAATGACATCACCGCCGCATAGTAAACGTGACACAATCGCTCGTAGTAACGTCACGTTTCGAGTTAGGCACACCCAAATATTCAAAAACTTTGTAATGAATCTTATCAATGAAATCAATATTCTTATAAATTTGTTTTTATTACATAATAATAACATATTTTTAAAAAAATATTTGAAGATAATGATACAAAAGTAATGAATTTAAAAAATTAATATTATTTTTTAAATAAATTTCATTGTATTTTGTAGATTTAATATTCGAACATTTTTACAGAAAGTTCAGAAGTTCATTGAATTTAAACAATATATATAAGTATAGAATAAAATTTATAGTTTAATAATAAACAAGAATTATAAATGAATTTTTATTATACACTTATATTGATTATGATATACTAATTGAATTATTTGTCATTATAATTGAGTTGTATTCTAATCAAATTCTTATTGAATTTTGTTTTCCATATGTTCTTCTATTAATTTTGTTGTAGTTATTCATTTGTGTTTTTATGAAGATGGTATCGTGCTTGTTGATTGATATTTTATACGAGACCATCTTTTATAAAATTCATTTTTTGTTTTTAAAAATATATCTGAATAGATTTATTTGAATCACTGTATTTTCAAATCAGAAGTACTGGCTCTCTTAGGATATAGCCATTCAGATTTATTGTTATATTTGCTAATTAATATTAAATTATTGCTATAACTATAAAATATTTCTAATTGTAAATAAATCACTAGTCCATTTCTATATTAAATTAATGTATTTTTAAATATGTATATATGTATAATATAAAAATTTCTTTCATATTTAATATTCAAATATTTAAGTTACAAAAGATGTAATGTTTATTATTACATTTTATTATATTTTTTTAATAAATATATTTATTAAATATTTATATTTAATATATAAATATTTATATTAAATATAAATATATTTATTATATATTTACATTTTTTAAGAAAATTTTTTTAAGAAATTTTAATATTGACATTATGCAAAAATTATATATATTTATAATATTGCATTTCTTTAAGAAATTAATATGTATTGATAATAATTAATTTGTTTTATAAGCATATGTGTAATAAGAATATTTAAATATAATATATTTCATCATACGAAGAAAGATTAATTAAACAATTTGTATAAATGAATTTTTGCAATTGATCATACATATATAAAATATTTGCATTTCATTACATAGTTTGTATCCATTCAATATACGCGCGACAGCAATTTTAAAATGTAAATGCAATGAATCATAATTAAAGAAGTAAAAAGATACTAATACATATATAAAAAAAATGTATGACAAACTATGTATAAACAATTATATGAAAATAATTTTTATAAATTCCGAAAATAATAATTATGAATAAATATATTATAGCTTAAATAAACATATTATTAATATTAATTAAATATATTAAATATATTGATTATGATAACAACTTGTAAATCTTGCAATAATTTTAATCTCGCTCCTTCGAAATCAGAATTGCACCGATTCATATATCTCTAAGACGCATTATTATCATTGATGTAAATTCCCAAGATTCGTCAAGTAAAATATGTATTGTAGTTAAATATTGTAGTAAAATATGTATTATAATTTATTTTATTTATATATTTATTTTATACAAAATTATATACAAAACAAATTGAAAATATTAATATAATTATTTTTTCTTTTTAAATTATAGTAATAATGATGAAGTTTTTACAAGAAAATAATGAATATTTAATGAATGTTTGGTAATAAAAACTAGAATAAAAATAAATATATTTTTCAAATAATAAATAATAAATATATTTTTTATTTATATTAATATTTATTATTAATATATAAAAAGCAATAAAAAGTAAATTTGTAACGTAAACGTTATTATAACACTTTCATATCCTTTATTTATTTATATTATATATTATTTATATTATAATGTTTATGTTTCTTTTTCTGTCTATGCATTCGATAAATAATATATATTTTGTAAATATTTGCTGTTAGTGGGTGGTATGACGGAAACGGTTTACTCTACGAATTTTACATTAATATTCTGTGAGCATTTGTTACAAACATTACAACGAAATATGTAGAATTATTTAGGATTTCGATATATCCGTAGTATATTTTCAAATTTGAAAATATATTTTTGAAATTTCATTCGAGTTTTAATTCTTTTTAATAATTTCAATTTAAAATTCTGAATTTCATAATTTTAGAAACTGCTGCACAATGTTATTTATTATTTTATCATATTTAAAAAAAAAAATTAAAAAAGACTTACTTGGATTTAAGTTCCTCATTGTTATCCCATAATCGTTTAGTATCTATCTCAAGTTTTGCTCGTTCTTTTGCAGTGTCATCCAATAATTTTCTTGCGTCGGATAATTCATGTTCGTACATAGACTTGATGTTGGATACTTCGCGGGTGATAGTCTCCTGGGTTGTCTGTACCTCCCGCGTAAGTCTGGAATTCTCGGATTCCAAATGCCGTACTTTGTCAATATAGCAAGCCAATCGGTCATTGAGATTCTGTAAATCTTGTTTTTCTTGGAGACGTGAATAACGAGTTGGACTCAAAGGACTTCCTGGTCGTTGTCCAATCGGTGTTGACGTAAATTGTGGCGACTGCACGTTGCTACTCGACGTCGCCGTGGTCTTCTTACTTGCTTTCGTTGACATTTTTCACAATAATTGATTCTCTTATTGCACTATCACTTAATCTTGCACTATCGAATCATCAATTTAGTGCACAGTATCACCGTGCTTGTAAAAGATGCCTTTAACGAATAAAAAAACTACCGAAGTCCAAATGTTCTTGCCTTAGTCAACGGAAGAACTGTTTAATGATGACGCCAACATTAACGAAGCAATCTTCTTATGTGCATCTTTATATTGCGTTAGTAAACGCAATGAAATAATGTGATTGGTTATGTCCAAGTATATACAATGTTTGTTAGCCAATCATATATCATTTCCTTCTAAGTGCGCACCAATAAGAAAAGATTTATCTACTAGTGAAATGCGATAAACTTGAAAACAATTTTTACTAGAAAATCTACATAAAAAAACAAAAACTTTAATTTTATTCATAAATTTAAGACAAAATTATCTAAATTTAATTTTTTTCAATTATATTATATCTTTTTCTAAGTATAAATTTTTATATAACTTATGAAATATATTTACATTTAATAACAAAGAGATCGAATATTTTAATAATAATTTTGAAAATAAAAATATTAATAAATATAAATCAATTTCTTTTTTTATACTTAAAAAATTAAAAATCTAAAAGTCTTTCAAAATTCTTATATAAATTCTCTTAGATTAAAAGAATCATAATAAGTTTTTTATTATTTAATAATTTTTAAATTATATATAGAAATAATATAATTGAAATGGTTTTAAAAATAGTTATTTATTTGTTATTATCTAAATATCAGTTTAAAATTAGAATTCAATTTAAAAAAAAAATGTAATATATTTATTAAAATATTTTTATTTACTTTAATATAGTGATAACAATTTCTTTTTTTCATGTATAAATATATATCATTCAATATAACATAACTAATAAAAATTAAAATTTTTTAGCTTCGGATAGTAGATATCTATTATGAAGTAAATGACGACTAGAATATTTGGAATAACAATGACGTGAGAATATAATTAAACCAATATAATATTTAAACATTTATTTTTTTTATGATTTTTGTGAGTTAAAAATTAAATATTAATAATACAACAATTTTCTAAATTATTAAAAATAATTATGTATTTATTTATTATTATTTTTTAAAACTATTTTGAAATACGTTGTAAATAAAATAAATTCCGTTTAACATTTAGTTTTCAAATATTTACTAGAGGGCACTAAAGTAAAAATTTTTAAAATGTCTGTAATAACTGTAGATAGAAATTAGTATTTGATAATATTACGTGAATGTTATAAAAGAACAAACTCTTTTACAATTATAATTTCAAAGTGGCATTCGTATAATACAAATGATTTTTAAATATTAATAAGATTTTATAAATCTTAAAAATAATAATACATCTTAAATCTTAAAAATTATGTATCTATTGAGAAACAAATTGTACATTGACAAGTTATGATAACGGTGTTTATAAATAATAAAAATGATATGAAATATTGATATGTTTTTAATAATATTTAATTACCGTGAAAATAACACTATTGAAAACGAAAATCCTAAATATTATTAAATAAAAATACGTGAAAATGTGTGATCTTATAGATTTAAATAGCCCTGATATAAAGGGTTCATTAAGTTCAAGACTTGCATCACCTTTAATACCAGTTCCTACGGATATATGCAAGAATTTTAATACTCGAAAAAATGAACAAAATTCTCTAATAATAGGAAAACGTGATAGTTTAGAAAACAATCCTTTTGATATGGTATTACATAAAACTACAGAATATATTCAAAAAAAAGATGACCCTTTTGAAATGACTTTAGAAAAAGCAATGAAATTAAAATGCAAACAGAAGTCTTCATTAAGATCATCTTCTCTAGATTTACCAGATAATTCAATTGTTAAACAAAAAATATATACACAAAAATTAAAAATGAACCAAACAGCAGATGAACTATCAATCAATAAATTAAGTACAAATAATATAATTACTAATAAAGTATCTAATGAAAATATAATTGTTAATGTAAGTAATGCTAATATGTTATGTAATAATTCAAAATCAGATGTACCTATTATTGAGATTCAAGATAATGACTTATCTATTTTAAATCAATCTGAAATGAATGATATATTATTTGAAACAGATAATAAATCAAATAAAAATCAAATAAAATCTATTTTACAAAATAAAATGTCATTACATGTGCAGAAAGATAAAATAAATATGGAACAAATTCCATTTTCTAATGTAACTTTAAAAGTTCCAAAATTTAGACGTTCTTTTTCACAAGGAGAAGCTATATCTCCAAAAGAATCGCAATATCTACATCAAGTATCATTATTTGAATCTTTAGGAATTGATTCAGATAATAATATTAATATATATTCTTCAAATTCACTTGATTTATTGAATGAAGGATTTTTAAAAAGTTATTCTAATGAAAGTTCTATTTCAAATTTATCAAATATTTCTTCTATACCTAAATTAAATTCTGTTTCTTCAACAATCAATTCATCAATAATGTTATCAAATGGAACTATGAATCGTACATTTTTAGAAAGCTGTTCATCAGAAAAATCACAAAATACAAAATTAAGTGAAAACATGGATTTAAATAAAGAAGTAAAATCTATATTTCCAACAGAAAAGGATTTAATGACATCAATAGCAAATACATCAATAAAAACTTCAATATCTGATTTAACAGATCGATTTAATAAATTAAAAGCAAAGGTATCAGAAACTCATATTGAAAGTTGTATGAATAATAAAGATGAATTTAATTCTTCCAATATAATGAAAGAATGTATAACTGTAATGGAAAAAAATGAAAAATATGATACGAATAATAAATTAATAGATGTTGATGTATTTACACCAGACAATAATAAAGAATACTGTAAAAATTCTATTTCAGATACATCATCGGATTCTGTTTTTCTTGTAAGTTTTTTATTCTATATATAAATAATTATATCTATATAATTATATAATATATTATATAATAATATAAATATATAATTATATTTATATATTATATTTATATTTATATAAATATAATATTTCCTTATCCTTTTTTACTTTACAGGAAGAAAATAAAATTAATAAATCAATACGTCAAGAAGCAAAACTTCTTGCAAGAACTTTTGAGGAATTGGCTTTAAAAACCAGTTCAGGCTGTAAGTTTATATTGTATTTTATTTTAATTAGTATAATAAATACAAAATTAATATTGTTTTATCAAAAATTTAAATCTTATTAACTAATAATATAATAAATTATTGATTTGAATATAAAAATTTTATAAAAATTTAATTATAAAAATGTAAAAAACTGAAATATAAAGAAATTAATGTAATAATTATTAATAATTAGTATGAGATTAAATGATATAAAATATAAAATAGGAAAATATAATAATTAAGTATATTAAAATTTTTTAATGACTAACATTAATATTTAATTTGCAGTTTAAATATATATATGAAATAACAATTTTAAATGATAATTTGTTTTATTATCTAGCAAGTATGGATGATTTCATTACAAACAATTCTTTATGGACATTAGAGTTGTTACCAGCCTTTGATGATGAAACTTCTGTTGAAAATTTGATCGAATTGCCGACATCTCCTGAGGGAACAGATACAAAATCAAAAAATGTAGAAATTGCAGAGAATAAATGTAATGATTCAAATAAAAATAAAAAAAATGAATTTAGCGATAATGTGAAAGTAAAAGATTTAGAAATGGAACTTGTTGAACCAATATTAGTAGAAAAACGTTTTACTGCAGTAACGCTTTTATTAGAACTTAAAAAATTAATTGAAACAGAAAATAATGTAGAAGCAAATAAATTAGTGAAAAATTTGGAGAAAGCTTTAGGCATTAATTGTGAGAATAATACTGAATTATTGACTACTTATCTTAATGCAACTAATAATTTAGCAAAAAGTCCAGAAAAATCAAATAACAATTTGAATATGATAAAAAATGTAGCAGAACATAGTATGGAACACAGTCAAGAAAATAATTTAACTAGTAATTCTATGGAAAATATTAAGGAACCAGAATTTTTTGAAAAAACAAGCTTTAATGCAAGTAAATGTATTGATAATCAAAAATATTTAAATAATGTAAATTATAAATCAAAATGTGAAACTCCAGAAACAGAAATATATATTGAAAAGATAAAGAAAGAAAAAGATGAAAATGAAATTATTTCCCATAATAATGAAGATTCTTACAAACAAGAAAATAATTTAATAAATGAAAAGATGGTAATTGAACTTCTTGCAAATATAGGAAAATTATTATGTGAACAGACTGATGAACATCCAACTTTGAATGTACTTAAAAATTTAGGAAAAGTATTAAATTTTACTTCCAATAATTGTAATGTTGATAAGAATACAAAAAGTAACAATGCTTATATAGAAATTCAACAAACTCCAAAGAAATCAAAATTAAAATTTGAAAATGAATCTCGATCGTTATACTCAAATTCTACTAACAGATTAAGTTTAAGTTTAGAATCAAAGGTATATATAAAATTGAAAATTTTAAAAAAATTTGTAAAATTCTAATAAATTTCTTATAAAATAATTATTAATATTTGTTACAGAAGATATCAAATAATAAAAATTTTATTAGGAGAAGTGTATCTGTATCTCAAACACCGCCATTTAAAAATGAATCTAATTTATCAATGTTTAATAGTAAAAGTACATCTCAATTAAAAGAAATAACAAAACGATTTTCTAGTGATCCTAATTTTACTAAATTAGAATCAAATAAAGAAATTATTACAAATAATGATAAAAACATATTACAAAAAGGTAATTATTTATTTTTATATTAAAATAATGTTAAGAATAATTGATTTACTAATAATGATATACTAGTTATTTATAAATAATTAATATGGTGATAACCATAATTATTAATTAGATTTACAGAGAGAAAAATCTTCTACAATAAGTACTGTTAGAAATAAATTTAAGAAAAAAATTAATACTAATATTATAAACAAAAAGGGTCCAATGAAAGCTATTCTTCCTATAGGAAATATGCAAAAAAGAGGTATAATTAAATAAATTAAAAAAGAAATATAAGATTTATATTTTCTTCAATATGTATTTTTTTTTTCAGAAACTATTAATAAAAAATTAACTTCATCTATTGGAACTACAACACCACCTCAGTCTCATAAAATAATTAGTAGTACTCCTAATTCCACAAATAATGAACTTTTAGCAAAAAAATCACGATCTGCGAAACCAGTTGCTTCGTCAACTCCAGATGCTCAAAATTCTAAAATACAAAAAGCACAATCACAAATAATTAATAGTCCTAAAAAACGTAACTTTTCCTGTGATATTTCACCTGTAACTACACGCATAAATATTAGTAATTGCAATGGAATGAGTAATAATTTACAAAGGTAAATTTAACTTTATAATATCTAAAAATATTATAACAATATAGTAACAATATATAACAAGGAAAAGTAATTTATCTTCTAGAAATACTAAATTACCATCTCCAAAGAAAACAACACCTAAACGCCGAACAACAGAATCTGGTATTCCAAAAATACAGACTCCACCTATAAACAAAAGTTTAAATTCTTCGTTTGAAGTTAATCAATATGAACGTTTATATGAATCTCCGAAACGTTCAATATATAAACAATCAAATTCGCAAAAAAATTCGCCAATTTCTTTTAAAAATAACGGAAATAATATACAACGAAGTCCATTAAGAGATAATAATAAAATTGTTCAGAAAGTAAAACCGATAAATTTGGTATATATAAAATTATATTTTAATTTATATTATTATATTTTAATAATAAATTATTTGAAAATAATAATTTAATCATAACTTATTTTTTAACAGATTTCGAAACTTCGGCGCTATAGTAATTCAAATATAATGGACAAAGAAAACAGTTACGTTTAATTTATAAAAAGTTCTATTATAATTAATACTTGTGTTATTAAACGTTCGTAACATTTATTACAATATGTGAACTTTTTACATTTATGTTTTGCAATAAAATATTTGGAAAATAAATAATATGTAGTAATTATTTTCTTTTTTTTTTGTTCATTATTTTACAAGTTATTATTTTAATATATTAGTTATTATTTTAATATAAAAAATTATAATCAATATTTTCTTAAATAAAAATATTGAGAACAAAATATTTTAATCGTTATTAAACATTCATATTTTCATAATTAAAAAATGTAGACTTTTTTGTTTCTTAATTGCTTTGTAGTTTAATAGTTTTATAAAGCATGATTTTACATATCTCAAAGCTGTGAATTACTAATATCATATTATAGAAATAAGAATATTTAAATGTGCCACGTGCAATGCATCTTAAGATTTGCTTATCTGTTGCGTCAGATCCGTCGATCTGAAAACAGGCTCAAAAGAGAGCTACTCGGCCGGGAACGAGGACAGCAGCGCTCGGGAATGGCCGATATGTCACGGTCGTTTCTAAAATCAAAGATGCAGTAACGTATCATATATAAATCATAAAAAAAATATTGTTAGAAAATAACTTTTATTTTAATTTCAATTTATAAAAATTATATCTATTTTAAATACATATTTACATGAAATTATTGTTAAATTTGATAAACATATCCTATTATAATGAATACATAATAAAATGTGTGAAAAAAAATTAACAATTAAAAATAAAATTTTTTAATTTTTTGTGCAAAAATTACTTATAGTTTACGAAATAATGCATTCTATTAATTTATTTAAATAAAATGTTGTTAAAACAATGCAGATGAATGGTGATAACTAATTGAAAAAGAAAAAAAAATATAAGAAGAAATGATGTCGGCAAAAGTGATGCGCAGAAGCCGGTTTCCATAGGGTACTAACAAAGATATTGCCGCACCTGCACGGACCCGTCCCCGCAAAAAGTGCGCTCCGCGTGTTCCGTACTCCAGCGGCGGTTCGTCCACACTCGCGTGTAGCCGCACCCGGCTTGACGCTCTTCGGTTTTGTAGAAATAATTTTTAGAAGCAATTGCGAAGAAAGTTAATCGGTAATGCAAACAATTCTTTAAGAATTGTTAGAAGTGACAGTATCAGTGAGGTGAAGTGCGTCACAGTTTCTGTTCGATCTTTTTGGGCGTTCTGTACAAGCAGAGCCAGCGCGGCGCGCACGAGAGGCCGCCTCTAGAAAAAGAGCGCGTCTCACGCGTTGCGCTACATTGGAGTATGCGATGTTCGCGAAAATATCAGAAAAACGTTGGAAATGATAAAAGTGTATATATTAACTAAAAACAATTTGTAATTGTGCTTTACTGTTTTTGAAAGTGTGAATTTGTGAGGATTTTTGGCCGGTCGAACCGGGAGTAAGAAAAGAGGCTGGCGCGCACCGAGGCTACCTCGGGAAAAGACCGCGTCTTGCAGGTTCGTAGTGTGTTGCGATAGCTATTGTGTGACACAATTGTCCAGGCTTATCGACATTCTTAGAATTATCATATGTGTCATCGTATATAATAAAGATGATAGAACTACGAAATATTCTGCGAACAGTCTGTGCACAGTGTCAATGCATATGAAGGTATACGGGAATCGCAACCGGCAGCGATATATCCCGCGTGGTACGTGTACGCACGTAACATACATCTAAGTTCGATACGTATGTGTGGCATGCACATTCATAAGGACTATGGACTCGTGAAATCGTTGTCGTTGGTCGCGTGTATCGAAGTGGCCTGTCGCGAAGCGCGTTTACAGAGAGATCCAACACTGTGGAAAACTTAACGAGAGAGAGAGAGATCAGAAAGAGGAGAGGTATTCGTTGTTCGACGATTGGCGCGTGGCGAAGACATTCGACGGTCACTTGGCACGTATATAGTGTAATTATTTCCCAGTTATCCCATTTTGTCTTTGTGAAGAAAAATATTATTTATGGGTATATGGATCGGTGCATTTTCACGAGCGAAACAAAAGAGGAAGAACAAGCAGTTTCCAACCAATACGAAGACCGTTCTCTTTGTTCGGTATTGCGATACCTCGCTAACGATTTGTTCGAATTTTAAATCGTGATTCACGACGATTACCGGAAGGAAGTTACCTATGTGGATACTAGAATATCTTAACATAATAAAAAGTGCGTACAAAGGGTGTGAAATGCGTCGCGCTGCAGTTCGATGTTCGATCCAGTAGCGGCGGACGACCTGACTTTGTTAGATTGCTTCTCGACGTGTACACCTCTCGGCTTTAGTCCAACAATGGATCAGCGCAGCTACAGTATACAATTCGAAATTCTTTTTCGGTAGCGGATAAAACAATAAAAAGTGATCATTCGCGTGCTCCATTCTGAGCTGCGTTTAATCGCTTTACTCAGTGATTAATGTTAAACATTTAGTAGACATTTCGCGCGTTCCGAATGCGCCATAGATTTTGTACATTATTGACTTTGTCGATCCGTGCAATCGATAATATTGCATCACGTTAATGAGTTTCTTCAGTTGTGTTATTTTTTCATCCAAGCTAAGTTCGTAGAATTAAAAAGCTAGACAAACATATATTGAAACATTGAGATATGTGCTTTTATTATAACATATTACTTGACTTGTTTATATGCGTAAGAACAGTTCTGCGCTTGATATGAAGCGGTATGGACTGTTTCTACTATAAGAATTATCAACATTTTATCTACTTATTCTTTCTAATAATAATCAAGAACTTTTAATATTTACGCAATGATAAGTTGAAATAAGTATCACAAGATTTTTGTTTACACATTACACGTTACAAAAATAAGGAAAGAAAAAGGAAAAAAAAATTACATGAAAATCAACTAAATGATAAAATAGAAGCGAATGTACACGCGCAATATATAAAATTTTTGCCGGCCGTTATGACATCAAGCGTGAATGTATTCAGCACCGTAAAAACGTGCAAGAAACATTGTGAAAATAATTTATATCAGTTTGTTTGTAATTATCATATAAACGTAAGTCATCAGATATTTTATTGTGCTATAGAAGGTTTTATTGTCGCATAATAATGCAGCAACACCGGGTGGAAACACAAATTCTCCACGAGGAGCAAATCCTGGAGGCAATAGATCAGTTACGTCGACGTAAAGCTCGACCCGATGCTGATCGTATCTGCAATTATTTACTACGGAAATTTTCCGTGGATGCACGAGATACCATTGCTGATCTTCATCGGTTGATCGAAGCGGAAAAAGTCATACAAGTTGACTATAAGGGTAACACTAGTTACCGAAATGCTTCAAAATGGTCACGATTACAACTTTATAAAAATCGACCGGAGGGTTTTGTGAAGGAGAAATTAAATTCTGGGATGGTAGCAGGTGCAGTAGCTGAACTTGTTGTTGAAGAACCAGATTATCTTGATCAAGGTGTACCAGCTTATAGGCTAATTGAACAGCTACTTGATGGTGTTTCAAATCCTACTTCTAGACGTATGGTAGAAGATTTTCTCGGAAAAGAAGTAGCCAGTGGTAATTTAACGCGTTTGTCTAATGGCAATTATTCGCTGGTGGCGACGTCTGACATGACAACCACCGCTGAGCCAACACATCGAGAATCTTTTACCCTCGAGAATGGAAATGCGCGACGTAAGGAATTACAAACTGTTTCCTCGACCACAGGTGGTCTTTATGATTTTGATGAAACAGAAAACTTGACAATTACGGACTCTAGGTCAAATACACCCAGATCTTCACATCAGGCAAGCCCCAAATCTGATCCTCAGATCAGAAAAGAAGAATGTTACGAGATAATCGTGGGAAGAAACGAAAATACCGAATCATCAGTAGAACACGATTCTATAAAAGAACAAGAATCACAAGAACCATCACAAACTTCTATCGAGGATGTGAAAGAAGAATTCAAAAATACAGATAATCAGACTCATAACCTTAAAAGGTCGTCAAAAGCTGAGCGTAAACAGCGCCTACTTGTTCGAACAGACGATCCTATGGACATAGAGATCAAATTTGAAGATTATCGAAAAGATAATAAAGATGAAATAAATTCGCAAAAAGAAAAAAGAGAAGAGACTGGACATCTTAGTGAAGAACGAGAAGACGAGGATGCAGGAAGAAGTTCTACTAATCCTTCACCTACACCATCCAATACTAATGTTGGTGGTTTTCGTAGTGCTCGTAGAAAGGTGTGTGCTTTTTTTATGGTTTACTTATAATTTTTAGATTAATTTGTATATATCTAAAAAAATAAAAAAACTATATTTTAGAGAGCAAAAAAAGTATTTGATCCTTCTGATAATAATCTTGTGAAAAGAAAACGTGGAAGACAACCAGGTTCACAAAATAAATCTACTATATCTCAAGAATCACAAGATTCTTCTAAAACAACTATTAAAGATGGACCTTGCAGGCAATGTAGTCTTTGTGCCAAAGAAAAACAAGAAAACTTAGTTGCTTGTCGTGATTGTACTGTACGAGGTATTTTTATATTTAAAAATACAATAAAATTTTTATTTTATATTATATAATTATAAATTTTATTTTATTTTTTTATTTTAATACATTAATATTATATAATCATTTATTTACAGCACATCCAAGTTGTATTTATAGTCCAGAAGAAATGATTCAAAAAGCAGGTAGTAATTGGCAATGTGAACGTTGTAAAAGTTGTACAATATGTTGTGAAACTTCAGATGCTGTAAGTGGAAAATATATAAAAAATATATTAGTTTATTCTTTTTCATATTGTAATTTAAATTAATTTTACAGGGACCACTTGCAACATGTTTTACTTGTGATGAAGCTTATCATTATTATTGCCATACACCACGTATAATAATTCCTAAATCAAATTCAAAATGGCAATGTAATGATTGTATTCAAAAGCAATATAAAACAAATATAAATCAAAATATTCATTTGGTCACTAACAGACCTGATACACCATCAAATCCTCCTGTTTTACCTCCAGTGTTAAGTCCTCAAGTTTCCCCTGCTAGAGGATCTTCTGATCAAATGGAAGATGATGGTCCAAGAGATGGAATTGATCCAAATATACCTGATGCTTCGGATTGGACATCTGAGCAAGTATATCAATATTTTGCAAGACTTTTTCCAAAAGAAGCAGAAGTGTTCAGACAGCAGGTATTTTTTTTTATTTCTGAAAATCCTATTTTCTGATATCTATTAAATATTCTACATATATGTTTCAGGACATTGATGGTCATTCTTTATTATTAATGAAACGGTCTGATGTATTAAGTGGACTTGATTTACTTTTAGGTCCAGCATTAAAAATATATAGGCATGTATTAAAATTACAAGTGCGACGAGATGATCCAAAACTTTATTGGCTGTAAATGCTTTAGAAACTTAAGGTTAGAATTATTAATTATACTGTACAGATTGATTTTTTTATATTTAAAAATTGAGTATTTTTTTGATTCGAGATAGTTTTTCATACTGTATATATTGTAGTTATCTTGAATTAAAAAAATAATTCTTTATTGTAAAGAAAATTTAAAAAATAACGTAAAAAATAATAAAAAGCTGAGAACTGTTATTTGTTTTTTGTACAAATATTTTTGAATTAAATAGTTTAAATAATTTAATATAAACCTTTCCTTCTTAATATAATATTATATAAATATTTACATAATGACTGTAACCAATATTTTAAAAGGTGCTAATCTTTTCATTTGTTATATGTTGAAGATAAATTCATGGTAAAAATTCTAAAAATCGTTTTGATTAAATAAAATAGTTTGAATAAATATAAATAAATATAAATAATAAAATACAATAAATAAATACAATACATAAATATCTTCATATTATTTTTTTTATTTTTACAATATATAATAAGATAACAAATATTAATAATACAATAAATTAGTACTATCCTATAAAAGGAACATACAGAATACTTTGGTTTGAAATATACTTTCTTATACATTAATTATATTAATATTTACAGCATACTATATTTTATATAATTAAAAGAAACATCTCTATTTTCTATTATAATATTTGTAACAACAATTCCTTTAATATGTATAAAACAATGAAAATCTACAATTAAATATTAAAAGAATATGATTGAAAGTTTGTGAAACAAAATTTTAATGCAAATCAATTCTTCTCATGATATACACAATAGGTAAAATTTGTTATTATCAAAAATTTATAACAATAACATACATACCATTCTAACATTGGATATATTTACATTAATGTGTTGATATCTATTTTGATTAAACTATATATTTTATAATTTTAACATTATAACAATATGAAATTAATATCATATTATACAACATAAATTATCCATATAACCATTTCATTTAACTTTTTACGTTAAAATTAAATTGTGAGGTATGTTTAATATTTTGTAATATCTTATTATATCTTACCTTAAATCATTTATAATTTATATCTTACATTGGTTATAAAATTATAATCATAAAATAATTTATTTATTATAAGAAAATGCAAATTTGTTTCTATATAATGCAAATAAAATATATTATGTACTAAAAAATTTGAAATTATATAAATAGTAATTATATATTTATTATATGATATAATATTAAAACAATATATATCAATGTTTCAAAATTTTTTCCAGTATATATATACTATATTTATTTCCATAATTGCAATATTTTATATAAAATAAAAATTAAGAAATGTCAAAATAAATTTCTAACTATAATTTTTACAAATATATTCTTTTTTATTTCAATTTTTATTATTTTTATATTAGAAAATTTCATTTTAATATAATATTAAACATAAATTATGTAAAAAATTATATATATATTAAATATACAAATATTTTTAAACAAAAATATTTTTTGAATTAAAAATAAAATTTAAAATATTTAACCAATGTAAGAATAATAAAATAAAACTAAAAACAATTAAATTAATTTTAAATAAATTTTGTTTTACATTTGTACATACATGATGTACAAAAATATATTAATATATAATAAATGCAAAAGCTTTTAATTTTTACTAATAAAGTACATAATTTGCAGTCTTATACACGTGCATCATTTTTTTATTTTGCAAATTTTATTTCAGTATTGATTTCAATTATTTTATCTATTGAAAAAAAAATAAAAGTTGTTATTTTCTATTATAAAAAACAATGTTATTCTGTACAAAATAATTTCTTCATATCACCATAAACTTTTTCCAGAAAATATTTTGTTATTTATTTTGATTTTTGTTTTTATTTCAAAATTTCAATTAATTTTTAAAATTTTATTTTTAGATATATATTCTTAGAAGTTTATTTTTCATTTATGAATAGTTTTATTGAAAATTGAATGTGCAGTTGCTACTTAATCATTGCAGTATCTATAAAGACTTATTATACATAATATAAAGAATTTATTAAAAACTGTTTTAATATACAGAAATTTAAATATTTCTCAAAATTGTTAAAAAAATTAGATAGAATTAATATACATTTAGCTAGACTTTCATATTAATTTCTGTTGAATTAACACTATCAAAATATTTTGGAGGAGGCTGTTTATGGAACGATGCTTCTGGTACATATAATGCAACTGGAGAAATATCAGACTTTTCAATTAATATTTCTTTATAAGGATCAGTAAGTTTTTCTGGATACAAACATAACCAAAATGCAGACAATGCTGCTGCTGCAATAGCAGAGGCTAAAAGCCAATGTGGTAATCCAATATGTTTTGAAGCACATTGAAGCCAATCAGATCCAGGTATTGAAGCTGATTGGTCATTTTCTCCAGAGTAGTCTGATGGTACTCCATAATCCATTGTCTATATTTTCATAATATTGCAATCAATCAGATTTATATAATATATAATTTAAATAATAAATATATTTTATGAAATTTTATGAATACTTTGCAATTAAAATAAAATTCATTTAAAAATTTAAAAAAATTAAATCAAAATTTTTATATATCAAAAATTATTTTTAAATAACCAAATTTTTATCAAATTTTTTAAATTTATATTCCATCATATATAATCAAAAACTTACCCCAGCATCTAATGGAACAGTTTTAATATATGTTTGTGGTAATTTAAATCCATTAAAATCCCACCACCTTGGAAGAAGTTCCTTTCGCAAACCTGGATCACTTAAAATATCATTTTCAGGTATATCAGGTGACATTATAACTAAGTTAGAATCTACACCTTCTTCTATATAGACAGCAACAGAAAAGAGTGACAATAAATTTGAAACACGTTGTTTAGCCATAAAATCACAACCAGTACTACATGCATATCGATCTTGTGGAGCAATATATGCTTCTGTACATGCTATAACAAAATAAAGAAATATTTTGTTTAGAAATTTATTACATATAACAATTCTAATATATGTATATTTATATGTATATGTTATATTTAAAATATAAAATAAATAATTTTATTAATTATAATAAAAAATTATATAAATTATCAAATGATCAACTTTATAATATAAATTTGTTCAATAATTAAAATATTTTAAATTTAATTTTTACTTAAATGCTATTATAATCATTACATGTTTTACATACAAGCTTCACAAGCATCCCTTGTACCATTTAAATTGTTTGATTCTAATCCATAATGTAAATCCACTAAATTAAAGAATCTACAACCTCGTTGACAGCATGATTTAACATATTTACTCTATAATTAATAAATATCATCATCATCATTAATATATATGTTTGTAATGTATAAATTAAAAACATGCTAAGATAACACATACATTTGTAAAAGATAATGGTGTTTTTTCGCACAAATTAATACAAGGATCCTCTCGATTTATAAGACTACAAAACATATCACTACGTACAAGATTTATAAGAAATAACAACAATAATGAAATAATTTCTTTCTCTCTTCTCATTTCAGAAAAATTATTTTTTTCAATGATAGTATTTAGTGAATCAAAATAATTTGTTAGACGAAAAGACTTCACTCACAAAGAAGGTGATAGCTCGTCGAATAATCGAGTAAATATCGATTTAATTATAGCGAGAATGCATCGCATTGGTCGATATGTTCACTGTTTATAAAAATTTAGCAATGTTGGTTTTTAAAATTATAAATGTATGTCATTTTTTAAAATTTTGAATATTTTAATTAAATTACAAATAAAAATTATTAAAATATTAATATTATAAATAAATATTATTTTACGTTTAATAATTTTTAATAGAAAAAAAAAACGAAAATTATTATACATTCTTTTGAAAAAAAGAAAATATAATTCTTATAAATAAAAATTATTTATAAATATTATATCTTTTAATATTAAAATTAAAAAAAATTTTTAATAAAATAATAGTGATTTACAAATAAAAAAATTAAAACTATGAATTAAAATTATAATTTTTATGAAAGTATTGTTAATATCATTAAGATAAATAAAAATAAATTAATTATCCAACTAAAAAAAATTAATAAAAAATAAAAGATCTTAAATAAAAAATTCAAAATTACTGTATATATTATTTAATATTTAAATTTAATTATTATTTTGATGATGTACGATATTTCGATAATATAATTTAATATCATAAAATAATAAAATATGTAAAATTTTTATATAAAAACTTTAAAAAATAAATAAGTTTATTGATTATCGACAATTTACCGGTTACTGATACATGTATACAACCACAGATTTGTACTGTATGTGTGTGTGTGTGTGTTTAAAAAATCTAATCATATGATATAGAATAAACAGAATATTTTCTTTATTATATTTTTCTTTATTATAATATTTCTTTATTATATTTATATAATATTAAAAGATTTTATTTATAAATATTCTAATATACATTTTCAATTATTTTTATTTGTCTAATTATATTGGCTCTAGCAGAAACAAGTTATCAAATCTATATTCTTTTCAAGAAAGTTTTTCCAATTCTACAGTATAAATATATATATATATTGTGTGTAATTGGAAGAAATCAATTGGAATTGAAAAGAATGTGAATCTAGTTGGTTGTTCAATAAAATACATTTGATCAAGTATTATATATATATTTACAGATAACGTGTGATGAATATGTGAATATCTTTATTCTTATATCATCTTCTTTGCCACGTGCAATGTTTAAGAGAAGATAAATACATATTTGAATATTTTATTAAGTATTAATAAAATAATTAAAAGAAGTAAGTAATTCACGTTGAGATTATAAGATATTTTTAAGATTTTATCGAGATTATATAAAAATTTATAAAGCGTATGCTGCTGAAATTCATCATTTTACAGAAGTTTAAAATTTTTTATTATGTTTTTATTATCGATTTATTGTTTTTTTATTACTCTTGAAAATTTATAATTAAAGCTTATAAAAAGAATTATTTTATTTAAGTTTAAATATAATAATATATAATAATTGTCTTATTCAATAATAACAAAATAAAATTTTATTTCTTTTATAATTTGTAAAAAATATTTTTTTATATATTAATTAAAAAAAAAGGATTCTCATTATAAATTATAATGTAATTTATATCAAATTATATATTAATAATATTAGTAATATTATGATATTTAAATTATTGTTATTCTTATTTCCAAAAAATCAAAAATTATTTTTAATTAATGTATATTAGATATTTAAAGAAATATATTTAATAGAATAATAATGGAGCAAGGCTTTTCTACAAAAGCTATTCATGCTGGACAAGATTCATTACAATGGAATGACTGTTCAGTAGTACCTCATATTACATTATCCACTACTTTTCAACAAGATGGACCTGGACAACCTAGAGTAAGTTTATTTTAAAAATTGAATAATTTTAACATATTTCACAAATTATTAAAAAATTAATAAAATAAAAATAAAAAGAAATTAGATATTTTTTTATTTTGAAAAATTAAATATTTACATTATATAATTTATTAATAATAATTGTATTAAATAATTATTAGCAATTGTTGTTTGTAAAATCATATTAAATTTATTGACTAAAAAATAAGTCAATTTAGTTCAGCAATGTCTATTTATATATATAATTTATTATATAATAAATTATATTTTTATTATATATTTATAATATATATATATATATATATTCTTATTTCTTATTTCTCTTTATTTTTAATATATCATTGCAAAAAATTAAATAATATTTTATATATTTAATATTTAATTAATTATTTTATTTTAGAGTTTTATTTATGGAAGAAGTGGCAATCCTACAAGAAATGTTTTACAAACATGTTTAGCTGCTTTAGAAGATGGAAAACATGGATTTGTTTTTTCATCAGGTTTAGGTGCTACAACAGTTTTAATTTCACTATTAAATGCAGGAGATCATATTATATCTGGAGATGATATTTATGGTGGAACTAATCGTTTTTTCAAAAATTGTTTAAAAAATATTTCAGTAACATTTGTAGATATGATAGACATAAATAATATCATAACCAATATACAACCAAATACAAAGGTAGATATTTTGAAATTTAATCTTATATTATATCAGTAGATATAAATTTTGATATTGTTTAAAAAAATATAATATTTATATTTTCATTTAGATGATTTGGTTAGAGACACCAACTAATCCTTTACTTAAAGTAATTGATATTGAAGCAGTTACTCAAGCAGTGAAGCAAGTAAATTCTGAAATTCTTGTAATAGTAGACAATACTTTTCTAACATGTTATTATCAAGTAAGTATTTTTCATTTATTGTTATGATATAATTAAATAATTTATATAATTGTACATATTTTCTTTTATAGAAACCATTAAAGTTAGGTGCAGATATTGTAATATATTCTTTAACAAAGTATATGAATGGACATTCAGATGTTATTATGGGTGCAGCAATTACAAATAGAGAAGATATTGCAAATAGACTTCGATTTTTACAAAATGGTAATATAATAATTTATTTTTCTTTAATATTTGCTCTATTTGTATAAGTAATTTTTTTAATTATTTTTATTTTAGCTATGGGTGTTGTTTCATCACCTCTAGATTGTTTCTTAGTTAATCGCAGTTTAAAAACTCTAGAACTTAGAATGCAGCAACATATGAAACATGGGCTTGCAGTTGCAGTATTTTTACAATCACATCCATGTGTAGAAAAAGTAATTCATCCATGTATGTATTTCTACGAAGAATTATAAATTTTACATAAAATAACTTATTTTATAAAAATAATTTATTTAATCATAGATTTACCATCACACCCACAGCATGAAATTGCTATTAGACAAACATCTGGTCATAGTGGAATGGTTTCATTTTATTTAAAAGGTGACTCTAGTAAATTTCTAAAGGCATTAAAGATATTTACATTAGCAGAATCACTTGGTGGTTATGAATCTCTTGCTGAATTGCCGTAAGTAAACTAAAAATAATTCTTTATTATGAGATATATTTAGACACATGTTTTTATAATTATTATTATTTTAACTTTTTTCATAGATCTGTTATGACTCATGCTTCAATTCCTGAAGAAACTAAAGAAATGTTAGGTATTAATGATAAATTGATTCGTTTGTCTGTTGGTCTTGAAACTGAAAAGGATATTTTGGCTGATCTTGATCAAGCTCTTAAAGCTAGTCAATAAATGTTTTAATTTTATATGCATATTCATAGTGTTGAATTGCTAATATATATAACTTATATGTTATATGTTAATATTATATTTGGTGCATAATTATTGTGGCTTTTTTTCAACAAATTTTATTCAACAAAAACAATATTTAATAAAAACATCTTTAAATGATTATTCCGAAGCATATTCACCATCTACTTCAATTACTGTTTCCCATTTGCTTGACAACCGGTCAATTTCACGGGCGAAGAAATTTCTGTTCTTAAGCAATTCACTCTTTGACGCCGACCAGTAAGTCATCCAAATCATTCAAATCATTGTAAACTTTGTTTGCAAGCCAATTTTTCAGTGATAGATTGATGTAATAGTCCGTAGGGACTTCTGTCGGAGAATATGGCGGATGAGGAAGCCATTTTTGTCTGGAATCCGCCATTATTGACGCTCATCATCATCATTCCACCAATAACAAATTTCGTTTGAAATGATTTCCTAGTGCTTTTGTTTGCTTTTGTTCCATCGAACACACCATATTGTGTTTTTTTTGTATTATTTTTATAGTTCTACTTCTTACGTTTTTTGCTATTTTTTTAGGTGAAACACTTGGCGAAACGCAAATCTTCTTTCTTTTAACGTTTTTAAAGAAACCACGATTTATCCAGTGATTCTTCAGAAACGGAGTTTATTTATTTTGCTGCAGCAAATCGGTGAAAATTCGGACATGTTCGATTTTGTTGTTGTCGAAAAGTTCATGGGGGACTCATCTAACCAATTTCATTCTTTTCCGAACTTTTTGAGACAATAAACGATGATCGAATAGTCCACATTGAAGTCTTTAGCCAATATTCTAATTGTTAAATTTTCATCCTCTTCCACAATTGTCAAATGTGTCTAATCGTCGAAATTTAATGGTTGACCTCTTCATCTGCGAAGTTTTTCGCCCGATTTGAACTTCTTAAACCATCTTTCAACTTGGTTTTTGCTAATTGTTCCTTCGTGAAAAAGTTCGTTGAGATCGCGAAATGACTGTGCTACATTCCAACCTTTCTCGAAATGATAGAACATAATGTGGCGAATATAGATTTTATGATTTTCGATTTTCATTAACTGAAAAGAGAATTATTTTTATAAAAAAAAAAATTAAACAAAACGTCAATTTTTAAAAGAAAAAAAAAAAGTCGCGAAAAAAAGCCATAATTATGCACCGATCTAATATATCAATATATCAATCTATTATATATTAAACAGAAAACATATTTTAATTTTAAAGTTATATAAATTATATAATTTTTTTTTTAAGAAAAAAAATATATTACCAATCATTTTCACATTCCATGCTATATTAATCTTTGAATATTAAAAATAGTGTACATACATAACTTATATTTCTAATGCCACATTTTACATATTTTTATATTAATCATTTTTTTATAAAAAGTATAAGAAAAAGATGTAAAATGCTATACAATGATAACTAAAAGAAATTTTAAATATTTATCACATTCTTATATTATAAATAATATAATTATAATATACAATTGCATAAAAATAAAGTTATTGAAAAAAATAAATATTTGAATCAAATATAATTTATTAAATAGAATAAAATATTTTTATTTATTTATGATTTTTTATATTTATAAATAATATAAAAAATTATTCTGAAGTATATTTAATAAATAGATTGTATTGAATTAAGAAAATTTTATATATACATATATTACTCTATTAAAAAAATGAATTGTTTTTTCTTACATTATATTTGACTTTTATTATCATATAAATTTGTATTATGTTCAATTAAAACTGATTATTTATAAATATTAATTAAAACATTTAAAATGCAAAATATACTTTTATGCCATTTTTTATTTAGTATTTTAAATATTTAATTATTGTAATAAATAAAATATTGTATTATAAAATTGATACTAAATTTAATTTAATTTATTTTCTTTTTAATTAAAGTTATTTAAATTTTGCATTATGCAGATATTTTTTTTATCAAATTTCAAATTTTAATGATTTTGATAAATAATATTATTGTAAATTAACTTTAGAATTATATCGCAATTTTGCTTTGTTTAATTTATCATATTCTTGTGCCCGATTATATAACAATACTCCTATTATTACTAAAGATGTTCCCATAGCTGATAAACTAGTTACTGGATTATTAAATAGTAAAACAGAAAGCCAAATTAAAGAAGCTCTCTTTGCAGTATTAACAACACTGTAACAAAAAAAAAATATTATAATCAAATACTCAAAATATCTTGTTAATATATATATATATATATATATATATTATCTATGTAAAATATTATATATTATATATTATATATTATAAAAAACACACCTATGTGTCACAGGACTAATGTAATTCATAAGTACATATGCAGTAATACTTTGAAAATGAAAAAATACTCCATTAAGTAGAAATGCTATGAATAATTTAGAACTTAAAGAATGTTCAAGTGTTGGTAAATCTACAAATAATATCAAAACTGGTATTTGAACCACAATTGATGCTAAACTAGTATAGAATTGCAGTTCTGCAGGCCTGTAATTTTATAATATTGGTGAATATAAACAATGTTGTTGAATATAATATAGATTAATAAATAAATAACTATTTTATACAAAATATTTTATACATACATATATATATATACTTACGTATATCTAAAATTATCACCACTGATTAACATTTTGGAATAAACATTTTGTAAGCATTCTGTTACATTTGTAGCCATAGCAGCAATAAATCCTCTGAGATCAAAACTAATTTCATTTATTGAACATAGAGCTAAACCACCCATTAAAGGAATTAAAGATAAATTTACATATAATCCTGTATGTTCTCCTATAAATAATATATAAAAATTATTAAATATAACTATCAAATATATATTCTATATATTAATTATCTCATATATCAATTTTAATTATGAAAAATAAAATTTTAAAAATATTTATTGAAAAATTGCAATAATAATACAAAATAAAATATAATTATAAATTATCATTATGATAATTCTTACCTAATAAATATCTGCTAATAAGGACGGTAAAAAGTGGTGCACTACTTTTTATGGTTTCTGTGAAACTCACTGCTACATAATTAAGTGATATTAGTCCTAATACTACAGTTGTAAATCTTGTACATCCAACTAGTATCATATGCTTATAAAAACCTGCTGGTCTCATTAATCTAGGACGTGCTTTATACATTCCACATGGAAAATACATTTGTATAAATCCACAAACTGTGGTTATTAACATTTGACAAGCACCTTTCAAAAAATAGATAAATATATTTGTTATATATGTAAAATATGTAATGTAAAATAAATATTTGCAAAATACTTTAAACTTATAATTTTTATTATAAAATACAAAGATATTAATTATAATATTTTAAAAATACAATTTTAAATTATTAAAAAATATTTCTTTAATGAAATAAATTTTATATAGTATTAATTTACCTAAAATTGTAGGATTGCCCTCCATATAAGATAAGATATATTTATTTAAGAATAAAGTACATCCACTGATGAGGTACCATAATAGTAAAAATAACATAATTTTGGGATAAAAAGAACTATCCATTACTTCATTTGTTAGAGTTGTATCTTCGTGTTTTTTAATATTTTCTTCATATATTTTAGTTTCATTATCATGTATTAATGGTTGTTCTGTATCACGAGGTGTTAATGTATAATTTATACGAATTGAATGATTTTCCATTATATACAGTTTTTGTTAAATGTTTACAATATTACATACAATTACATTTTTTGTCAATGATCACATTTTTATACGTCACATTTATATGATGTTTACATTTGTATGTTTCCTTCAAGAATTATGATAGGTTATGTTATCAGATATTTTTAAATTTATAATTAAAATTTTAATTTTAATATGTGATATAATATAAAAAGCTTTTTAGACTTTATATTATGTTGAAATTAATATAAAATTTTTTTATTTAAATATTGATTAAAGTTATTTCATATTTATGAACTATACTATAAAATAATATATAGTTTTAATTGTACTTAAATTCATATGTTTACTATATATAAGATTATTTCTACATAACCTACAACATTATGCAAAACAAAATAAATGAATAAAACAGAATTTGTTGATAAATTTATTTTTCTAATACACTTTTTATATATAATTCATATTATATAAACAATACAATTAATATATATTTAATAATTATTATTATCATTATCATATTTTATATAAAATATATACATTTTTCACATTTTTTCATATAATTTTTTTTATAAAACTAAAACTAACTATTTTACAATACATACAACAATATTTTATATTATAACTCAATGTGTGATGTTTTTTCAGATGAAGTTATTTTTATAATTTTTTCAAAACAATATTTTGTAAAAAAATCTTGATATGCTAATAATGCAACATTTCTTCCACCTATTGCACTCATTTCCATTGCACTAGCAATCCATTCAATAGCATTAACATGATAAAGAGCATCATGTAATTTAAATTTTGCTTCATGAATTCTAGTTGAATATTCAGGATATGCTTTCCAAAAAATCTGTTTTGTTTCCTGAATCTTAAATATGTTAAACTAATTTTATTTAACATGTCATATATCATAATTTATATAAGAATTATTATCTTAATCTTACATTTGAAAACATTTCATTTATAATTTTTGATTTTAATGGTTTGTTGCTAAATATCTTCCAAACTTTACTATTTTTTATTATTCCATCTACAGAATTTAATCTTCCTATAGAATTAATTATAGTTTTGTTAGGATCACAACTTAAAATATTATCTAATTCTTCTTGCAAACCAAAATAATGTGGTTTTAAATCTGCTTTAACAAATGTAGCTACAGTTTCATGATATTTTTCAAAGCTATAAAAATCATTTTTTGGAAATCCTTCAAAAATAATAGGAAATTCCTGGTCATGAGTAAGTGGAATTGCCAAAATGACAATATCATATAATGCTTTCATTATAATTGTACTACCTGAAACAGAAATTATTTTTACTTTTAGTTGCTATATATAATATATGAATAATATTAATATATTATACCTTGATTGCAATAATGTACTTCATATAAATTTTGAGTATCATTCTGTGATATGTTAATAATTTTAATTACATGTGAAGGCACAACATTTAAATGCTTATTTCTATATATTAAGTGCTCAGGTACCTTAAATATCAATATATTATTAGCTATAAATTAATAACTAGAAAATTAACATTACATTAATTAATTATAATAAAATTAACATTAGTTAATAAGAGAGTAACCTTTTTATTTCCCCCTTTAACAGACCATAAATTAAAATCTGTTCCAGCTAAAGATACAAAACCAACAAAGCTATGAACATTTATATCTTGTCCATAGTTTACTACCAATGTTGTTTTAACAATTTCATTAATAATTTTTTCTGAATAACCAAGATCTAAAAGCTCATTTTTAATAGATTTTTGTACCAATTTTGGAAATTCAGTATTTATAGATAACAAAAAGCTACTAATATTTGTAAAAGTTTTTCCACTATCCTGCAGATGGTATATTTTTTCAAAATTATTTATTATAGAAGTTGTATATCTGTTTAAAATAATAAATTAAAGTAATAATTATTATTATAATATTAAATAGATAAAATAAATAGATTTCTGATATAAGAATCTGATATAATTTTTCAAAAATATATGTGAAATACCTATTCAGACTAAATGGTTGAATACCATATCTATAAATTAACTTAATTAGTGATAATAATTCCCATTTACTTTCTTCAAATACAATTTCATTGCCATTCCAAATACTTGTTTTTTGATCATTAAATGATCTATGTTCTAAGCCTAAACCATTGGATAATAAATATAGATTAGATTATAAGTACATCAGATATAAATATATAAATCAGATTATAAATTTTAAAAACAAAGATCATATTTTAAATAATTTTTTTCAATCACAGAATAAAAAGATATAAAATAAAATACCAAGTAATTTAACAAATTCTTGCATGTATTTATTTTGAGAATGTATAACTGAACCTCCAGCTTCAAATTCATTATTATTAATTTTTATTGTAGCCAAACGTCCACCGATAGTTTTTGCTTCATATAAATCGATATTAAGATTATTTTTAAATAATTCTGCAAGAAAATGAGAACTTGCTGCACCACCAATACCACCTCCAATAATTGCTAAAAAAATCACGTTTTTTAATTATAAAAAAATTTATAAATTAAAAAAAGGATAATTTCAATATATATCGCTAATAGATAGTTTATTAGATTTTCCATTTATTAAAAATATTAAATATATATTAAATATATATTATAACATATATTAAACATATTAAAAATAATATTTTTATT